GGCGTTTTACACTGCCCGGCCCCTTTAAGCAAACAAAGTAAGAACCCTCTAGGCAGAGCCTAGGTAGGGAATGAACATAAAGAGAGATAAACACAACAAAGGCAGAGAGGGACATAGAGGGACATCGAGAGAGAGAGAGAGGCAGACAGAGAGATGGAGAGAGAGAGGGAAAGAGAGAGAGAGAGAGATACTGACAGATAGAGAGGGAGAGAGCGAAAGTATATCCGCCGATCCGGCGTGTGAGTTTAAGGAGTCTAAGCTGAAGCTCTGCTTCAGCATGAGCTTTAGCTCTGCTTGGGAGGGGGGGGGGAGGACCTCATTAACTGACGAATTCAGTGCTCGGCACCTCCCCCCGCCCTGCCAGCCCCCCCTCCCCCTCGATTTCGGCCCCCCCCCCCAGAGTTTTGCTTTGCAAGGGTAAAGGCAGGAGAGGGGGGAGGGGCGGCGTGAGGTCAGGAGAAGGCGGGGGGGTGCTCTGCAAGGGGAGGCTGGGGCCCTCTCAGGCGGGAGCGGGAGCTGCAGGGAAAGGCGGGAGGGTCCGCTTTGCGGATGGGCGCTCTGCAAGGGAAGGGGGGGGAGGGGGGGGGGACAGGAGAGAGGGAGGGGGTGGGACAGGAGACAAGAGAGGGGGTGGGGGAGAGGGGGGGGGGGACAGGAGAGAGGGGGGGGGGAACAGGAGAGAGGGGGGGGGGGGAAAGGAGAGAGGGGGGGGGACAGGAGAGAGGGGGGGGGACAGGAGAGAGGAGGGGTGGTGGTGGGGGAGGGGGCGGGCTCATCACCATCTCCATCACCTCCATCACCATCACCATCACCATCGTCACATCACCATCACCATCACCATCACCATCACCATCACCATCACCATCACCATCACCATCATCATCATCATCATCATCATCATCATCATCATCATCATCATCATCATCATCATCGTCGTCATCGTCATCGTCATCGTAATCGTCATCGTCATCGTCATCGTCATCGTCATCGTCATCATCATCATCATCATCATCATCATCATCCCGGGCGCTCCGGATCGGCGGCACTGGCCGGAGGCCACCACAGTATACATATATATATATATATAGATACTCATGTATAATGTAAGATGCGTGTGTGTGTGTGTGTGTAAGAGATACTACGTACATATCAGAGAGAGAGAGAGGGAGGGTGAGAGAGGAACATAGAGATACAGAGATGATTAGAGAGAGAGGGAAAGAGAGAGAGAGAGAGAGAGATATATATACATACATATACACATACATGAAATTAAAGAGATATATAAACACAACAAAGGCAGAGAGGGACATAGAGTGACATCGGGATAGAGAGAGAGAGAGAGGCAGACAGAGAGATGGAAAGAGAGAGAGAGAGAGGGAAAGAGAGATATATACTGACATATAGAGAGGGAGAGAGCGAAATAGAGAATTAGAGTAAGGAAGTTAAAACGATCTATATAGAGAGAGAGAGAGAGAGAAAGAGAGAGAGAGAGAGAGCGAGAGGGAGCGAAAACAAGAGATAGAGAGATAGAGAGAGAGACAACAACAAAAACAACAGAGACGCACGGGTGCGGACACGCCGGTCCACGCCGGCAGGCGGAACTTACTCAGGGGTCGAGCGCAGACCGCACAAATAGGGGATCCCCGACACGACCCCCCCCCCCTGGCGCCGAGGCGACTGGACAAGAGGCGCGGGGCGGTGACGGCAGCGAAACGCCCCCCTTTTGTGCCCCGGGTGCAAAGACGGGCTGCATCGTGCCCAGCCGGCGTTGGCGCGCTGGCGTCTGCAGCTCGCCGTGCCGCGCGCGGGGCGGACGCGGAGCCGCGGGCGGACGCGGCGCCGTGGGCGGCGTGCCGGGTGCCACGCGGGGCGTGAAGAGGAAGACGCTCGTGACAACACGCGCGGGCGGCGCCCCCGCATGGGGTGGGGTGCAGGGGCGCCTCGCCCTGAAGAGGTGGAAGGACCCAGACGCCAGCGGCCGTGCCAAGAGGCACGGCCGCCCCCCAGATCCCGCCCCCCCTCCCGCCCCGTCCACTGCGCCCGAGGGCGCAGCCAGCGAGGCGGCCAGGAGAGAGCGGGGGAGGCGCAGGGGCCATGCCAACCCCACGGCACAGATGGGGGCTTGCACCCAGCCTGGGGGAGCCGGGTGCCTAGGACGCCTTGTCGTCCCAGACCAGCTCGCTCGTCGTGCTGAGAGTTCGCCCCCTGAGAGAGGGAGGTCGAGGGCCTCGTCAAGGCAACGTGTGAGGGCGAGCGAGCCGAAGGCGCGGGTCGAACTGGTGGAACGGGGTATGGCCCGCAGCATGTGGGAACGGAGAGCAATGCACCAGTCGGCCGCCAGCGGGGGATTGATGCACCTGGCAGGTCAACGACGTGTCAGCGGCCGTGTGGTGGTACCTCGTGGGTCCGCGAGTCCCGAGGGCGGGAGGAAAGTCGGGGTAAGTGCAGCGGGCCATGTAGGCGGCCAACGCCCAAGAGGGGACGTGGAGGCCGCGCAGTGCCCTGGAGAGCCGTGTGGAGCAGCAAGAGGCCGCGTGGCCTGCCTGCTGCGTACGCGACGACGACTGCGAGACGGGCCAGCTGGAGGGGCTGGTGCCGGCGGCGTCCCGAAACCGTGCGTGGCGGCTGTGCCTGCTGGCCCATGGGCTAGTGCTCCAGGGCGAACAACGTGCTGGTGCAGCTGCTTTGCGTCGTCGTCGTGGTCGTCCTCGTCGTCGCTCCTCCTCGACGGGCTACGGCGGGACAAGGGTGGACCGACGAGTTCCGGGTGAGGGGTGGAGGGGGGTTTGGGACGAAGTGACGACGTCGGGGTCGACAGAGCGGGGTTTGTCGCAACGGCGCCTCCGTCGGGTGTGTCTCGATCGTGACGACGGATTCCCCTGTCGGCGGTGGCCGCGGGTATTGCTGGTGCAGCGGTCTGTCATTGTTGTCGTCGTCGGCGTCGTCTCGGTTTTTCTCCTTCTTGCCATGCCGTGGTCGGCAAGATGAAGGTGGACGGGGAGGTGAGGACACAAGGAAGCGTCTCGAACCTGACGATGGCTGGGCGGAGGCGGTCAAGCTGGACGGGAACAAGTGGGAGGTGTCCCTGCTTGTCAGCATGGCGATTCAATATTCGTCTGCCTCCCCCGTTCGGCCGATGGCGGTGCCGTGTAGGGCGTTGATGGGAACGGGAACAACAGAGCCAGGGAGAGCGATGTCGTCCCATCCCAGGGGTCCCAAGCGTCGGCCGGAACCACAACGCTACGGCGCGCGGGCCGCGAAGTTGTGGGAGGCGGTGGGGACCAGGTGGCCAGCTGGAGGCTATCTGCGCGGACGCGGGCGATAACAGCTGGGTGGTGGCCCAGGTAGCGCGCGCTACGCGTGTGTGGGTCGCGAGAGGCGAGCGTGACGGGCGGACCAACTGTAGCTGGTGCTGTGGAACCTGTATGCGCGACAGGAGGTACTGTCGCGTGGTGGTAGCTGCCTGGCCAGCCACTCGGGGTTTGCTGGTGCTCGTGAGGGTCCTCGAGCTACTTGGGGTGGGGAGGGACGGGTGATCGAGCATTGACGTCAGTGGGACCCTCGTCGGCAGCGGTTGTGGAGAGCTCGCTGTGGGGCAACTCAAGGATGCAAGGGAGTGGGCCCGAAGTGTGGCACCAAGAGCTGGCGGGTAAACAGTCGCGAAGCTTCCGGCCTCTCCAGAGGGACCTGAAATTGCGAAGAAGACGCTGGGCACAGCCCGATGGTGGGAATCGGTCGTCGCGTCCAACCTGGTGGTTACGCGAAGGCGTGGCAAACGCGTCTTCAGCCGCTGGCGCGACCGGAGATGTCCGCCCGGGACCTGGCGCAACCGGGATGGAACAATCACCCAGCTGGCCGCTCGACGGTCGTCGGTCGTCGGACGATGGTCGTCGGTCGTCGCGGCGGCTGGTGCTACCTGGTGCCGCCGTGTGCGCGGTCGTCGTCGGGCGGTCAACGGTCGTCGGTCGGTCGTTGGTCGTTGGACGGCGGCCGTCGGACGTCGGACCACTGGCAGCTGGCGCTTCAAGAGGGGGAGCGGCCACGGCCTGGCCACCCGCCCAGCTCCGGCCTGTGGGGTGTCGTCCTCCCGCCTCGTCCTCGGTGGCCCTGTGCCGAGGCCCTGCGAGATCACAGTGGGTTGGGCGAGGCGAGGCGCGGCGATTCCCACTTCGCCCAGACGGGCGGCCGCGCGAGGGGCTGGGAGGTGGCGCCGGGGCGCCGCTCATTCAGCCACCGGAGATGGGTTCGATGTTCGGATGTACGCGCAGCCAATTCTTCCAATTCTTCCACATCCCCTCCAATGCTTAGCAAATCTCCCCCACATGTCGAAGAACGTGGCAGGCGCTCTCGATGCAGCTGGTGCTGCACAGCGGAACGGCGGCGGCGCGCCGCGCTGGTGAACAGCGCGAGGATCACGGAGAAGACGGCGAGCATGGTGTTGTTGATCGTGAGGTTGGGCACGCAGAGCCGATGTACTGGTCGTAGCTGGTGGGGCGCATCGTAGCGTGCGCGAGGATGGACGCCGCTAACACTGTACAGCTGCAGATCGTGCGGTTGCTGGGCTAGGCGTTCGAGCGGGCGCTGCCGCCTTTGAGCCAGCCAATGGTGTGTCCACAGGCCACTGTCGCGATGCTGGTGCCCGCCACAATGGTGGCAAGGTTCGTGGTGGTAGCGAACTGGTGAAAGGTGCGCGCGCAGACTGTCCCCCGGTCCTACTCCTCCTCCTACTCCTCGTCCTCCTCTTCCTCCTCCTGCTCCTCCTCCTGCTCCTCTTCCTCCTCCTCCTCCTCTTCCTCCTCCCCCTCCTTCTCCGCCTCCTTCTCCTCCTCCTCGTCGTCGTCGTCGTCCTCCTCCTCCTCCTCCTCGTCATCGCTATTCTCCACCCCATGCCCTTTCTGCTCCTCATCCGGTGCTCCCTCCTCGTCCTCCTCGCCGTCCAGCACCTGCGTTTCCTCGTCCTTCTCCTCGTCCTCCTCGCAGGCCACCTCTGAGGCCTATGCGCCTGCCTCGCCGAACTCCGCGATTAGGTTGCTCTGCGCCTCCTGCGGCCGCGAGGGGGGGTGGGGGGCGGGCGGGAGGGGAGGGGGGGGCGGGGGCGAGGAATGGGGGGGGGTCGAGGTTTTGGGGGGATGGAGGCTCTGAGAGGCAAGGCTCTGAGGGAGCGGAGGGGGTTGGAGTGGGCGGCGAGGCTCCGGCGGGGGAGCGGGGGGAAGGGAGTGGTGCCGAGCCGAGAAGCCGCACGCCTGGTGCCGCGCGGGCAGAAGCACGCGCTGCCCCGGGGCGGAACATGACCAGGCCCAGGAGAGCAACGCCACACACCCGGGGAGGAGGAGGAGGAGGACATCAAGCTGCTGCTGGTCAGAAGAACTGCTTTCTGGCTTCCCTCCGTGGCAACAGGCCGGGCTAGAAGGGCCCGATGGCGTCGGGATCGCCCCGAGACCACTCCCCGGCGAAAAACAGCGAGCCGCACATCGGGAGCGCTGTCGCATCGAAAGGAGAAGGAGTGCACGAGGAAAAGGAGCAAAGAGGAGGAGGAGGCGGAGGAGGAGGAGGGTTGTGGTGATTTTGAAATTAAGTCCTCTGTTATTGGTGTCTCGGTAAAAAGTCATCCAGCAGATTAGGGGGCTCGGGACCATCATGACGGAGGGCGGGGGGGACAACGCTGAGATACCCCGCAGGATCGCTCAGATGCGGCGCGAACTCAGGCCTGTACAGATCGCTCTTGGCAAACGTGATCAGCTGAGCGTGGCCACCAAGACCAACCACACTGATGCCTTCGCATTGTCTAAGCTTTGGTTCAATGCTTGCGTGCGGGAGCCAATCAATAACAAGTCACCCGCTACGCCTGCCAGCGCGCTGTCCGCTGCCTACAGAGCGGCGATGTGGCTCCCCCTCTCGGCCAACTCTGAAGGTGGGATGTCGCATGCGGTTGTGTTGTTGAGGGTAGGTCGGATGGGGAACAGGGCCGTGCCGAGTGTGGCTAGGTTCAGGTGCCTGCCGAGGGTCCGCAGGTCGCCCCCATGCGGGGCTGCGCCTCACCCTTGATTGCCTCCGGGAAGATCCCCGTAGTTGGGTCCAGGCGTTCAAAAATGATTTTGGTTGGTTTAATATTAGGGTCAACAAACTTGACATCCCGCGGAGCAGGGCGGCGGAGAACTGGATTCAGTTTGTGAAGATGTGCACCAGACATGTCTTAAACTTGATGGCCGAGGCTGCGAGGCGTGAGCCTCTTTATGCCGCAGCAGGATCAGCGCGCCCGCGAGCTCATGACACCTGTCAGCAATCTTGGCGCGGCCCCTGGGGCGCCCGCTCCCACTACGACGCAAGTGGACGGTTCCAAAGGCCGAGCGCCAGTTGTTTTGCCGCGAGTGTGGGTTCGTCTCCAAAACCAAGAGGGGGCTCTCGGTGCACAGAAACAGGTTTCGCCAGAGCGGGTGAGACACCTCCTTGTAGGCTACAGGGGCCGTCTGCCAGGTGTGCATGCTCGGATTCCACGCCAGAGGGAGACTCACCGAGCATCTAAAACACCAGCTGGCATGCTCCGACGCGTGGGCTGAGCTGGGCAGGAAGCCCGAGGCCGAGGAGCTTCGAGAATGGGCGCCGAGATGAGTAGCAAACAACAACATGAAAACAGGAAAAGGGGTCGCCATGAGCTGTGTAGAGAAGGCTGCTGTCAGGACTTGTGGTCCGCTTCGGCCAATGGCAGCGCTGTCGAGGCACCTTCCGTGGCTGTCCACGCCCGCGTGAGTGTTGCGCCCGCGCGCCCCAGCCTCTCAATGTTTTCCTCGCCGCTCGTTTCGATCATCGGGGCTGGCTCCAGAAGAGAAGACGACATTCAGGGCACAGCGAAGGCGTGCTTGACCTGGTGCCCATGGCTGTGGTTCACGTGTGTCGTGATGGAATTCGTGTTCAAGGCTCTCTCTGGACCGCCAAGATGGTCAGCGGGGCAATCGCGGCTGGTGCCTTTTTTTCTTCAGGGGGTTTTGGCCTTGGTCCTAGGATGCAAAAGACCGACTAGCCTCGGCCCCCCGCCAAGCCGACGCACGGCGAAGGGCCTGAAGGCCGAAAGGGGCGAGGGACGGACCCGGGGCCCGAGACAGAGCCGACCGAAATGACCGACCGAAACGACAAGGGCCGAAACCTCCAGGGCCTCGGGCAACATGCAAGCAGCGCAAGAACTGCTGGTACCGTCTCTTGGGACGGATTTAAACCCTGGTCCTCGATGGCGCCAGGTGCAATGGCAAGTGCGCCCCCCCCCCACCCCCCCACTTCACTTTGATCGCCTCCCCTCGCCCGATATAACAAGGACAGGCTGCCGCAACCACGCGCCAGACGCAACGGGTGCCTGGTTCCGTCGCGGCTCGACGCTGGCGGTTGTGGCGGGGGCTACGCGGGTTCCAGGGGCGCAGGAAGAGCAGTGCGGACCTCTCCTGGGATGGCACGGGAGAAGAGCCTGAGACAAGCAACGAAAGAGAAGAAACGACACTTTGTTCTTCTTGTCTCTTTACGGGGCGGGGCGCAGCACGATATATGACGCAGACAGGTTGCCGCGAACGCGAGCCAGGCGCCACGGGCATCTGGTTCCGTCGCGGCGCGACGCTCGCGGTCGCGGCAGGGGCTGCAGGGGATCCCCGGGAATAAACAATAACTCCCCAGACGAGTCGACTACGGCACGGGAGAGATGCATGAGGCATGCAAGCAAGGGACACGGCGAAGCTTTGTCTCCTTCTGTCTCTTTGCAAGCCTGGGCGCAACTGGGCGCGGAGGGAATAAAACGGACAAGTTACTGACGGGTATATGCAAGAGGCCAGCATCGCGCAGGCAGAGGACTGCGTCTTGACTATGTTAGGCCCTGGGGAGAACGACCAGGGAACACGCTTGCATAACGTGCACGTCCTCCCCGCCAACACCTCCAAACCTTCAACTATCCACCTCAGATCATATACTAAGGGGCTTCGTGAAGCCACTCGGGGTAGCATGAATCACGACAGGTGACGACATCAGGCGGGGTGGGGAAAGGCATGAACAATATCGGTCTGGTCGATGGGCACGACCGAAACAATGACTTCACGAGGCCGAGGGCGGCGTTCACCCCGCATTTTTTCGCGCCTGTCTATGGTGCCCTTGGCGCAGGGACGACCCCTGCATCTGCGCCTCAAATCTACCGCAGCTTTCTGGCTATGGCCACCGCATCGGTCGCATAACATTAGAGCGCAAAATCTGCGCAGAGCACGGCCCCCTCCTGTGGGATTGGCGCAAGCGGTTCGGTTCGAAAACAGGCGCCGTTTGGAAACCGGGCTGGGCCAGCAACTTGCACGACGGAGCCCGCCGATGCCGGGGTCCCAGAAATGCTCGCGCAGAGCCCCTTCCCGAGCACCCGGGAGGAGCAAAGGGGGGGGGGGTAGAGGAAACGGGAGGGTCAGAGTCAGCTTGCCGAACGTCCTTGGTCAGCTTGAAGATCCAAGGCGCACGATGCCCGATGTATATATCGTGTGACATGCGTAACAAGCACTGTCGCGCGAGAGACCCAGTCCAACATCACCTGATCTTTACAATGGAGGGCTGCCCCTAGCATAGCCAGGCGGCCAGCCTCGCGATTTCCTTCATAATGTACCCCAGCAAGGGCACGGTTCTGGGAACGTATCTGCGTCAGACGAATTAGATGATATCCTATGTCTGACGCAAGACGGTGGACATCCCGCCACGGAGAGCCGTGAACGGCCCATCCGTGTGTAGTGGCCTCGAAACCCAGCCGCCACTTGTCAATCAAATGCTGTGCATCAGTGACATGCTCATATTCGAGGCTGGGGGAGGCATGCGAACAAAAATGTAAAAGCAGAGAGCATGCAACTCCGCGCCTGGGACGTCCTGGACCATGAATGGGCGCGCCCCAGAGGCAGAGCGTTTATCCAACGTCCAAGGCCGCGCGCCCCATCTCGCCAATGAAGTGGGCGGTGATGGTGAACGTATACTTGAGCCGTCGCCATAGGCCGGCGAGGAGAAGAGGGGGCCTTCACGGACGACCTCCCGCACAGGATCGTTGAAAGGAGGGGAAAGGAAGTAGGGGGAACGTGGGTCAGGAACCAGGGCTGAGGTCCAAACAGGGTTGCCCCTATACTGTACCCTACAATACTTATGGGCTGGCGAGGCACTAAACCAGCGCCGAAAATCTGACAGACCATCGCATCCCTAAAATGCGTGGGAGATCGGATTTACATGGATCAGACCACGCAAAGGGCACTGGTGCCTAAAAAGTATATACTCCCTGACAAGAAGGTGCGCCAATTACGATGCTGGAGATCGCTCCAACCTGAGGTATTCCTGCGCGGCGAAGCCCTGATGGGGTCCAGGAAAGGGGGGCCAGCAAGATGGGGATGCAGTGGGCGTCTGTCAGACGCCTGCTGCCGAGCCCAGACGCGGGCTGCCTGGCCCACTAAGGCAACAATCTCACGAGGGGGAGTAGACGTAATATCTAGACTGATTCCAATTGCGGCATGCCAGACTGTCGGGGATTCAAGGGGCCATCCAACCCTGTGAAAGGTAGCCACTAATCTAACACCAGGGACCTGGGTGGAAGTCCAAGGAGTCTGATGGGTGACTGCGTCGATGGCCCCCTGCAGGACACGATCAATGATGCCCCGAGGTAATAGAGGCATCCACCTAGATGCTGTCCAGAGGCTAACTACTTCGCCGTGAGCGTCGAAAACTGGGCCCGCCACTCCTAGCATGGCTAGATCCACGGTGGCGGATCGGCGCTTCCTTGTTCCAAGGCCAACGTGATGTTCGCTTCGGATCTGCTTAATCTGGCAAATACTTAAGCCCGCTACATCAATGCCGGAGGTGACCGTCGAACGAAGGTTCGTATTGGCGGTGCCCTGGGCGTGGCCCCCTGCGCGCCGCAATATGGCAGGGCGGCGAGCCTTCTGCGCTGCCTGCTGAAACCTGGACATCAGCGCGATGCAGCCTTCTTCCATGTCCAAGAACCGCCATAATCTGCCTTCGGAGGAAGAAACGACCTGCAGGGAACAGCGATGCAACCGACACCTATATCGCGGTTGTATTCTCACCCCACTTCTCATGCGCATCAGGGTCGGGGAGATGGTATAGGCCAACCAACTCAGCCGCAGACGTCTTTAACCACGAGGATGTCTGCGTCTCGAGCTCAGGAAAGGAACCCATCTTGTCAGCCGCCAGCGGGGCGCAATCCCAGGAGGGAGGGCAATGTGGGCGCCCAATGGGTCGCTGGATCGGGGGAACAGGGGGCCTCCGAAATATTGATGCAAGGTTATTGCCAACTGATCCCTTGACGTGCAAGCGACAGGCTGGCGCGTGGGGAAGAGAGAGAAGCAGGGAACTTCACGTGTAGCTGCGCGGAAGACATGATGGGCAACGAGCTAATCATCCTTGGAAAAGCCACCGCCGCTTTCATAAGTATTGCCACTCGGAGCAATCACAGTGCCGCCCACAAGCTCTAGAACACCTGTTGCCTCTAGTTCTTCTGGTGACATGTTCCAATCAACAGGTATGAGGTAGGGGGGGGGGGGGGCGATGGCTCAATGGACAGATGCCGCCTGCATGAGCAACTGCGCATTTCGATCGGCTTACCTTTCCCCAGCGCGCAAGTAAAGATTTAACCAGGGTGCGCCCATGTTCACCAATCGGTGCCAGAGCTTAATGATGCGTCGCTCAGGGGGTGGTGATACCACAGAGGAGTCCAAGTGGATGTCCAAGAAGCTGTTGTCATATGGAGAAACCAAAGCAGCCCCAGGGCTCAAATTCATTGTCAGACGTACGCATGGATGGGTGCATGTGCGAATGTAATTCTGTTCGGCGCGCGCTATTTGTAGCAGCCTCAAGACCCTCGGCAGAACGACGCAATTCCTGAAGACCTACTACATCAAAGTAGCGAGTTGTTGCAGCCAGATAACTCTCTGCGTTTGTCCAGCTCGTGACATTGACCGAGAGCAGGACCCAAGAGTGTCGACCGTGGCGAAGAGTTTGGCAACCCTTCCCTCTGTTGACGTCCAGGCGGGCTGGACGACGCCCCCGCATCGCATGTAGTGCCATCGTCCAAATCATCAAAGCTGCCAGGGGGTACCTCATTACAAACATTGGTGAGGGGAGTCGGCCCATTGCTCGGAAGCGAGACACGGTTTCTTGTGGGGCGCCTGGGCTGGTTCTCGCGAAGGTGCCACGCCGGCTCTGGATACTGGTCGGGGGTCGACTTCCATAAAAATACCGTTGCAACTGCCAATATACCTGCTGCCTGCCACGACGCTGCTACCGACGCAACACGAGAAGGCGACCGATGAGGCCGAGCGACAAGACGACCAACGCAGGAGTGCACTGAACAAGAGCAAACACCTCAACCATCTGTCCCAAGGTACGAGCAACCTCAGGGATCTGTCCGGAGGACTTTGGGAATTCCCTGAGGAGGGTCTTACAAACGTCTGACAAGTCGCTGGACTCTGGCTCAACGACAGGCTCTGGGACTGGGAGAGAATCGAGACGGTCCTGCCACAGTTCGCATTCTGTCTGGAAACGCTCCCGCTTGACCTCTCACGAACCTTTCCTGGCAAGGTCTGACAATTCCTAATCGATCTGTTGCGACGCAACGTCTGCCTTCTCCACCATCCTAGTAGACCACCGGACTCGCTGGGACAAACGGGCACGCTGCTGAGGAATGGATAGCATGAGCGTCTTCTTCTCACGGGCGTTTGCCAGCTCGGGCAGGAGACGGTCAATCTCTCGCTGATTTCGAACAGAAGCAGGAAGGCTTCGAAGGCTCTCGAGATAAGTCTGCTTAGTCTTAATGGGATCTTCTTGGCCGGAAACCGTAACCATCGGTTCACCACGCTGGGCGAAGGGACCGAAACGTGCACGAACAGCATCAGACAAAGAGGCATCGATGAATTGCTCATAGAACAAAGGCTGCTCGGAGTGCTCGGGTTCGCAAGACGAGGGACGAGCCGCGGCGGCAACATACTCAGGAAAACGGCAGCCACCCCTTCCGCGGCATCGGTCGCCCCACGAGACTTTCTCTTCTTGCCCTTGGTCTTGGTCCGTCCCTGACCTTGTCCTTGTCCCTTGTCTTTGTCCTGGGGAGGACGACCAAGGAAATACGCCTTTCAAAACGTGCAGGTCCTGCTGGGGGCCTGAGGGGAAGACACGTGCTGGAGGAGTAGAACCGATCTTTCAGAGCAGCGGGTTGCCTGTTTGCTCATGCGCGCGCCCCGGGAATCCCATGGCTGGCCGTCGGTGAGCAAGACATGGATCAGCATTTGTTTATCGAGCTATTTCCTGTTTTCGACGGGCCCTGTGCTCTCCCCAAGGTCCATGCCGTTAAAAGCGAAGTGTGTGTGTGCCATTGCAGGTCAGTGGGACGCTGCGTGCGTCGTGGCGGCATCCTGTCTGATCTTATCGACCAGGATACGTGCGCAGGGGGATGGAGGTGCAACGGGGGCATGTGCATCTGCAGGGTGAAAGGCTCGAGTGCATGTGTGTCCGCCTCCCTGCTGCCTTTTTACCGCCATGCGGCGGGTGCTTTGTGCAATGAGTGGTCCAAAGGGTGCTTGTGTCAGTTCGATGGAAGTGTCGTTGGCCCCCCTTCGGACCATGCCCCGTGGAGGCCTCTCGTTCCGTATCTGTTCTAGGCCTCTCGGCTGCCCTGCTCGGCCATGGAGGTTGGCTTGGGTCCCTGATGTCACACCAGCCCTCTGCATGTGTCGTGCTCCCTGCTTCCCCTCACCCCTAGAAAAAATCTGCACATTCATCGGCTTCCAATCTGCGTGCGCGCGTGCGTGCGTGTATGCGTGTATGCGTGCGCGCGTGCGAGTAGAAACCGGAGGAGGAAGAGGGGGAGGAGGAGGAGGAGGAGGAGGAGGAGGAGGAGGAGGAGAAGGAGGAGGAGGAGGAGGAGGGGGAAGGCAATGGGGAGAAGGAAGGGGAGGATGAAGAGGAGGAGGCGGGGGAAGGCAATGGGGAGACGGAGGAGAAGGAGGAGGAGGAGGAGGATGAGTACATAAAGAGGAGGATAAGGTGGAAGGCAATGGGGAGGAGGAGTCAAAGCATGGGGCCGTGGCTCCTCGACGGCGGCCGCCACCGTGCCCTGCGGGCAGCCGCCCTGCGTCTCTGTGAACTGCAGCCAGAGGCGCCAGTTCCTGTCTCCTCCTCCTCCTGCCCCGTTCTCCTCCCTCTCCCTCCTCGTTGTCTCCCCGTGCTCCTCGTCCTCCCTGCCCCTTCCATCTTTTCCCTCATGGTCCCACGCCCCCTCTACCTTCTCCGCTCCCTCCTTGTCTGAAGCTAGCCATGCATAAACATCTTGGCTGTTGCGTTTCCGCCCCCTCCTCTTCGTTCTCCACCTTCTCCTCCCCTTTCCCTTCTCCTCCTCCTCCTCCTCCTCCTCCTCTCTTCCGCGCTCCTGTCGCAGACCAGCGTCGCGGCGCTACCGATGACGACCAGCCCGCGGCGCGCGCGGGTGATCATGACCTGGCTCGCTGGCCGGGGCAACGTTGGCTTTGAACATGTCTGAATACATTCAGGGTGCCTTCTGGACACCTCACTGATTCCACCACCGTCGTCATCATCACCATCATAACCATCATCACCATCATCACCACCATCATCGCTAGCATCGTCATCATCGCCATGACCATCATCACCATCAGCACCATCATCACCATCATCATCATCATCATCGTCATCATCATCGTCATCCTCATCATCATCACCATCATCATCATCACAACCACCGCCCTCATTATCGTGTTCGTCGTGACCATCACCATCATCACTACAGCCACCAGCATCTTCATTACCACCAGAGTTACCATCAGCATCAGCACCATCATCCATCCACCATCAACATCACCATCACCACAACCATCCTTGTCATCAACTTCGTCACCGTCATCTCCGACATGATCAGCATCGCCATCGTCATTGTCATCGCCATCGACATCATCGTCGTCATCGTCGCCGTCATCAGACATCAACTGCGCCTGGTCGAGAGCGTTGCGGAGATGCCCGAATTGTCCAAAGCGGCCGCCTGAGGCCAGAATTGTGGATTGGCGGCCAACAGGGGGCCAGCGGCGGAATAGTGTGGCAACGGGCGAGACGGAGAAGGTGGAGACGGAGGTAAGGGGGGCGGGGGGAGACGGAGGGAGGGAAGGAGAGAGGGAAGCATGTGCAGGAGGCGGATGAGAATCTGGTGCCCGTAAACAGGCAGTGTCGTGGTCAACCCGGGGCTTGGAGGAGTTCCAAATGCTCTCCCAACGTCGCCCGAACGAGGCCGCACGGAAGCCAAGGACGCCGCCGAGGCCGCCAACACCCCACCTAGCCGCGCCCAAATGCCGCCGAGCAGGCCTCGTGCGCTGCTCTGGGTCCACGGTCCCCTCCTGGTCTGTTCCTGCTGCGCCTCCCTGGGCTCGTCCGCCGCCAACGCGCGGGCCATCGCCAACGCGCGAGCCTCGCACTCCTTGGCCTGGTCCAAAGCTGCCACGCAGCATCATCGACAACGCGTTGGGAACGCGCGTCCTCGGCGACGGACGCCGCGTCGCCAGCGCTGAACTGCACCAGCATCATCATCACCATCACCATCACCATCACCATCATCATCATCATCATCATCATCATCATCACCATCACCATCACCATCATCATCATCATCATCATCATCATCATCATCATCACCAAGGTAATCAACAACATGATACTATAAACGCCACTATCAACATGATGATCACCATCATCATCATCATCATCATCATCATCACCATCACCATCACCATCACTATCACCATCATCACCGACGGCACGACCATCATCGCCATCACCATCGCAACAGCCATCCGCATCATCATCATCATCATCATCACCATGATCACCAAAGTCAACATCATCATCACCATCATCATCTCAATCACCATCATCAGCAACACCATCAGAAACATCAGCATTCGCATCATCATCATCACCGTCATCATCATCAGCACCATCATCGGCATGACCACCACCATCACCACCACCATCATGATCATCACCATCACCATCACCACCACCACCACCACCATCATCATCATCATCATCATCGTCATCATCGTCATCATCGTCATCAACAACAACATCGTTAGCATAATCAGGAGGTCCCCCAACCGTCCTTCATTTTCAGAGCAATGCTGTCTGTCATCCGCATGTGGTGTGCGACCTGTTCGAGAGCAGCAAGGCCAACGGCAGCAACGATCGAACACGGTACTGAAAGCAACATCATTGCCGCTCAAGACTGTGCTAGCGGCCCGCCGTGAGCAAGGGCGGGGAATCGAGCATCAGAGAGGCAAGGCAGGAGGCTTGAGCGAAATAGAGCGGACTCTGTGCGGCACCCCCCACACGTTCGCAAGACAAGCCGGAGGTTCCCCACCCGTCCTTCATTCTCAGAGCTATGTTATCTATCATCCGCATGTGGTGTGAGACCCATTCGGGAGGGAGCAGCGAGGCCGGCGGCAGCAGCGATCGAACACACGACTGAAACCAACATCATTGCGGGAATTCGAGGCGTCCAAAGATCGCGCGCGGTTCTGTGACGCACGTCGACCGTTGGGATTGGGAGGGTTCGTGGCCCCATAGGGAACTCCGCCGAAGGTCCGACTGGCAACGCCCGCATGGCACCGCCGCAACCGTTTCGGCACACCGCTCACGCGGTTCGGGACCCCATAGGGCACTCCGCCGAAGGCCGCAGAGGCAGCGCCCGCATGGCACCGCCGCATTCTTGACGGCACACCCGTCACACGTTTCGCGGCCCCACCGACGGCTCAAGCGACGACGCCCGCATGGCACCGCTGCGCCAATGTCAGCACATCCATCACATGTTTCGTGGCCCAGCAAGGAAACCTATGGAAGACCATACTCACAAACGCGATATTCACAACTGCATCTGGTTGGGCATTTCGCAAGTTGTTGCTTCTCTTTCTCTCTTTCTCGCTGTCTTTCTCTTTTATCCTCCAAGTGTTCCCCCGGAAAGGTTTCCACAACGGCTGGGGGAACACATAGTCCAATACCTTGGCCATGTTTTGGCCCAGTGCGTGGCCACATAGACGAACACAAAGAGCAGGGAGCGGCGGTGGTTCGCCGTAGGCGTCCTCGACTCATGACGAGCGGGGAGCGGCGGTGGTTCGCCGTAGGCGTCTCCGATTCATACTTGGGGCACTGGGGCGTCGAAGGGAAAGGTCTGCAGCTCCGGGTGTTCGACGGATGGCCAGCCCAGCCCCGTGCGCTGGCCAGCGTTTCCAGCCACGTCGCCGGGTGCCCGCCCGCAGGCGCACCAGGGCGCTGGCTGGCGCTTCCGAGTTCCTCGCCTGGTGCCCCGCCCGCAGAGCCGCCCCGTACAGTCGGGGCGTTGACCTAAGGGACCCTGAATAAGGAACGAGGCCCCTTTTTTCCATAAGTTAACCTTCGATTTCCTGCCGACAACATCAGGAAACCTGAGGCAAGCTGCGAAACACTTAAGGAACGCGGAGCCCCTCCCCAACGAAAAGGGTTCCTTCTTCAGGGCCCCGACTGTAGGCGCCCTGTGAGCTGGCTCGCGTTGTTCTAGGCTTGTCGGTCGGTGCCCGCTCGTGAGGCCACGTGCGCTGGCCCGGGTTTCCAGAGGCACGCGCGCCGCGGACTGCACCACGCCACGCAGATTGCAACCCACATCCTGCAGCACGTCGACTTCTCGGGAGGAACAGTTGAGGCTGGACTTACACATGCACATCCGCGTATGTTTCGTGACTGTTCTGCACGGTCGTTCACCCCCAATACTCAGCAATACCATCCCAGCCAGACCCCTGATCGCCCCCACATCTCTATCAACTTCTTTGCGCTTTCAACGAGTCCCAATCAAACATAATCATGTAGGCTTCATGCGTGCGCGCCTAAGCACGCACGCGCATTTCATAATCATAAGCAGACCATGATGTCCTAACACATCCATCACAGTGTGCTCGTCAGAACCATCTGAAAGCACAAGGGTCATTCGGTAGGGAACAAGAAATTCGGCGCGCGCGAACTTATGAGAAAGCCAAATGTTTGTCTGCATTTTCTGCACATGGGACTATCCTCCTCCGTCGCCAGAGGCTCCGACGTGCCAGCGCGTTCGGCACAGCCCCCGGAGGGACATTCAGCCGGCGCCAATCGTTCAGGAAGCCGACGCTCGCCTTGGTGTTGCACCGGACGGCCGAGAAGACGATGAGCTCCTCACTGGGATCGGCGAGGATGCGAAGGGTGATGGGGGATTGGGAGGACGAGGAATGTGCGGAGGTAGAGAAAGACGAGACGGGGGCAAAGGGAGCGCGGGAGGAGGAGGAGGAGGAGGAGGAGAAGGAGGAGGAGGAGGGCGAGAGTAATGAGAATGATCAACAGGGCCGAGGGGAACACAAGTATGTGAAGGGAGGTGGAAGAAGAGAAGGAGGCAGGAGGCAATAATCAGGACTGAAAGAAGAGGGATGAGGGTGAAGGGGGGATAACGCCAGGATGACTGTAGGAGGAGGAACAGAAGGGGTATTTCGTCGTCCCTCAATCTTCGATTGGGGGGTGGCCGGGACATGTGAGCAGCATATAGCGCTCAAACTTCTCTTGATCTCTTGGCATGGGTCTCCCTCCTTGCTCACAAGTGTGGCGCTCCTGGATGGGAGTCGCGGTATGGGGAGGAGAAAAAGCTAATGTCTTCGCCCTTCTGGCTGGCGCTGTCTGTCTGTCTGTCTGTCTGTCTGTCTGTCTGTCTGTCTGTCTGTCTGTCTGTCTCTGTCTATCGGTCTGTCCGTCTGACAGTCAGGCGGTCTGTCTGTGCCGTGGCTGCGCGCACGGTCGCAAGCCAGTTCAAGGGGCCGCGCGTGTTCTGTGGGCCTTAGGGCGCTCCAGGGATCTCGGAAAAATTCTGGAGCCTCCGAAATCTCCAGAATGCCCCGGAGGGGGGAAATTGACAAACGCTCGCGTGGGTGCAGAGCGGCAATGAAGCTTTCGCCGTGCCGCCGCTGCCTCCAGGCCAGGAGCTTTCGCGCGTGCAGGGCAGCCACGCCTTGCTCGAGAAGATGGGGCTGCAGGCGGTCTGGCCAAAGGTTCGCAGATGGAGCGCTAGCGCCCAGGGCTGCGCCTCCGCTGTGCGGCTCTAAGGCCAGGTGCCATTCACTACATATGTTCGCCATTGCCGCCAGCAGCAGCACTTCAGGATGCGTATGTTGGCTCATCCCAGAGCGCGGCCACGCTGGCAGGATCTCTGCCCCACCTCCGCACGATGCCTCTCTGGCTGAGGTGCCCGCTCGGGCCGCTTGCAGACACGGAACGGGTCGTGAGAGGAGCTGAGACAGCGGGCCAGACGCTCAGAAGAGTGCGTGTCCGAGCTACATCGACAGAAGCCAGGAAACTTTCAAACTAGTGTTCGGCTTTTCGGACATCGGAACATGCTGAGTGGTCGCTCGCCACACTTGCTGGATATCTGATCTAGGGTTTCCCTCCCCCCCCTCCTCCCCCCCAAAAAATGCACACGGGGTCGAGCGAGTCCACCGCTGGATGGGTACGCCCGTGAGCCTCGCGAAGGCCTGACGAATAGGATGGCTCCCCCCCGCCCCCCCTGTGGCCGTGGCCGTGTGAGCGTGGCGTGGCGGAGGGTGCTGGTGCCCCCCCCCCCCCCACTGTGGGTGTGGGGTGTTTCGTCGTCCGTCGGCATTGGCGTCGGCGTCGGCGTCGGCGTTGGCGTTATAGTTCCCCCCATCCCATCTGGGAGGGGGGGGGTGCTCTGGAACCCTGGAACCCGTCCCATCTTTTGGGGGGGTCCTGTGAAACCTCGACCCAGGATCACACAATGAATTTGTCGGAAGATTGTTTCCCCGCAGACTCCGTGTCACATAGTGTCAGGAGCTGGTATCCGCAAGGCATTTGTCATGATGTACAGACGCAGAATAAAAACCATTCCGAACCTATTGAAGCCACGCAAGGGTGCACGTGCAATTTGCAGGGCGAAGCACTGTACGGCGTTTTTGTTGTTGTTTCACGTCGCACGAGCCTAGCAACATCATGCAGCGTTCCCGGAGATACCTTGTAGTACTTGCCTGCCAACACTGAAGCTGGCTGCCCAGCTTCAGCGTTGCCAGCAGCCTAAAGCGGCCCCAGAGGACCCCAATATAACTAGCCCTAAGACGGCCCCAGACTCCTCGAAAGAGGCCGCAAGACGGGCCAAAAGGGCCCTAAGATGGCCCAAGAAGTCTCCAAGAGGCCCCACGGCGGCTCACAGACTTCCAAAACGGCCGCAGACTGCCTCTCCTCTCGCGGTAGCGCCACGCAAATGTGTCTTAAAGGCTTGCAGCAGCTACAAAGTGGAGGGTAGGTCCTTTTGCCTCAACGCCGCGCAGAAAGTCGTTAAAACTTCCAATGCCAGGAAGGAGGGCCGATCTTTTTCAAAATGAAGCTCGCGCTTCAACTAGCGCCGTGCGCATTCGTTCTAACAACTTGCAACAATCACGAGGGTGGAGGGTGTATCGCTTTCAAAATTGGGCTGTCGTCTGAGCGCCGCGCACACTCATCTGCCATAAAACCTTGCAGCAGATATCAGGATGGTTGAGGGTACACTTTCAAAATTGAGCTCTCGCCCTAGCACTGCGCGCATTCGTCTTCAGGCTTAGAGATGAAGGGCAGCTCGGTTTCAAATCGGGGCCCTCGCTGAAGTCTTTCTCAAACGAGCGACCAAGAGCTTGAACATAAAAAACGGTTGCACGGATGGAGGGCGGTTCCTCTTCGAGATGGGCATCGTGCTTGAAATTTCTTCAACGTGAAGCATGTGCAACTATTTCGCGGTCTAGGGGGGGTTCTGCTTCAAAATAAGGCTATCGCTGGCCACCACGCTGAACTTCACGATCATACTCTTCGCACTCCTTGAAACTCGCGAGAATCATGCAAGACAGTTCATTTTCAAAGCGGGTCTCTCGCATGAAGCGCATGTCCATTGGGCGCTCATCTTTCAGGGGGGGCGCTTCTTGTAGTGAACATGTCCCGCAGGGAGATATGACGATAGGGGGATTGGGGCGGGAAGGTGCTATGTATCACCATTGATGCATCCTGGATTTACTCTGGTCCGCATCCTTCTCCTCCACTCCCGATTCTTCATTCAAAGTTATCGCCTTCTCCCCGAAAACCATCCCCTCAACCGTCGCCGTCCTCCTCCTCCTCCTCCTCCTCCTCCTCCAGCTTTTCCGCTTCCTCCTCTTCCTCCTCTTCGTCATCCCCTACCCCCCCTACCCTCCTCCTCCTCCTCCTCCTCCTCCTCCTCCTCCTCCTCCTCCTCCTCCTCCTTCATGTCCGCCTCCTCCCCCTCCTCCTCCCCTCGTCCACCTCCTTTTCCCCATTCTCCATCGCTTGTCTTCATGGGTAGTCCTTCCCCCGTCGGACCACCCGACGTACCGGTAGGGCGGGCTGGGCGGGCCGCCCGGGAGTTCGGCACTGCCTGGGGCCAGAGTATAGAATGCTGCAGCAGCTGCGCGGGTGGTGGGCGAGTCGGCTTCAAATTGTGGCCCTCGCCGTTGCACCGCGCAAGTTTGTCTCAACGCTTCCAACACGTAGACACAACTAGTGACCAAGCGTTTTTCCCGGAAAGAGCTCGGGCCCAGGGTTCTGTCTTGGTTGGTTGCCCCCCCAGCCTCGACTTGCGTAGGGCCGGCGAATTCATTCTGCGATGGATAACGATGTCGCGTAGGGCCGACGAATTAAACAGTTGAGGATGTCCCTAGCGAGACGTTTGTTTTATATCAAATTGCTGAGGATGCCTCAGGCGAAACGCTGGTTTTGCAAAGTTGGGGGATGCTTCGAGCGGGGCCTCTTTGGGGGGCCAGGAATCAGAGGACGTCTTAAGCGAAATGCTTGCTTTCACTTGCCCAGGGCGCCCTAGACGACCGCATGTTAGGACGGTAATATGTCTCCGGTGTTTAACATGATGGTCCCGAGCTGGAGCCATGTTTTTAACGTGTCCGGGCCACACAGGGCGGTGTCTAACATTGTTGACCCGAACTGGAGCCTCGTGTTTTCACGACCACATCTAAGATGTCCGTCCCTGGGTGGCCTGGACATGTGAAAAGACATGGGTTCCTAACGCCGCGGAGCGGGACACACGTGACAACACATGGTTCCTAACGTCCCACAGCGGGGCGGCGCATGCTCGCCCCCCTTCGGCGTGTCCCTGGCTCGTCCTCTGTCGCCTTCCCTTGGCGCATCCCCTGGCGCTTTCCCTGCCCGTTCCGTGCGCGTCCCTTGCCACGTCCCCTCTTACGTACTTTGGCGCATTCCCTTCTGCACCCCTGGCACATTCCGTGGGACGTCCACGCGCCCTGCGCCCCGTGTTGCGCTTCGGAACTGAGTCGGATCTTGAGCTCGAGCTGATTGAGCGTCACACACGTTTCGACTGCAACTAGTTCCGGACCAGCTATGCGTTCAGGCAGCTCGAGCTTAATATCCACATCATTTCTGTCAGGGTTCCGATGCCACGGACGCCTTGGTCCACGACATGAAAGAGAACAACGCATCTCATTGCGGCATGACACATGTCGCTTCAGCACGGGATAGCACACCACAGTACAATCTCTGGCATGGTCAGCATTGCCATTGCATGTTGCCCGATCAGGTGTCTCGAAAACGTAGCAATGCCTCGCGCTGCTAAATTCCTTTACGGGTTCGGGGGTCGATCATGTCAAAATGTTGCTCTCGCCCTTGAGCCGAGCAAATTCGTCTTGAACGCTTCTGGTGGTTAGACAAGTAGTGGGCGGGTTCACTAGTCATAGCGAGCCGCCTTTGCGACGCCCATATTCGTAACTAATGACTCTTGCCGTAAGGCCTCACACATCCACTTTGGTCGCTTCCAGGAGCCACAAGGATAAAGACTGGTGGGTCTCCAACTGTGGATCTCGCCTTGGCGCCGCGAACATGCCTCACTTCAACGTTTCCAGCGGCTTCAAAAATGGGTGCCGGCTCCTCTTCAGAATGGGGCTCTCGCTTGAGCCTTCATGAACCATCCGGCCTTGAGTCTCAACCAGTGCAGCATTTGCACAGATGGCGGGCGTTGCTTTTCAAAGGAGGCTATCGTTGAGCTCTCGTCACAGTATGTGGGCATAAGTTGGAGCGTGCGCAAGTCTTACGCGGATGGAGAGCGGCTCTTGTCCGAAACGTGGGCTCGCGCTGGACATGTCCTGAGGCTTTCTGCTCCCCGTGAGCGAGGGGGGCCCTGGGACACACAGACCAACAGACACAGAGAACCGGAGGCCCCACACTTCCCCGTGGTTTCTGGGCGTTTGTCTTCCCCCCCACTCCCCACATTTTCCCATATTTTTTGGGGGGGATCGACGATTCATTGTGCCTCTGTGTTTTCTCCCCCCCTGGAAAGTGGAGGGCGGCTTCTCCTCCGAGCGGGGGCCTCCTCGCGTGGATGGCAGGCCCACGGGGCCCTCGCCTCTCTCGCGAGGGTGGGGCCCCGGAGTGCAGGGGGGGCGGCTCGCGCGGAGCACGACGAGGGGGCTCCCCGGGGCGGGAGGGTGTGTGCTTGAATCGGGTCGGGTGAAAGGGGGGGATAGCAAAGGGGGGGGTTGAGAATCAGCTCACGTAGCTGATTTTCCCGGCGCCTCCCGGCGCCGAAAGCGGCTATGTATCGAGGACTGGGCCACTCGGTGGGGCCAAAACCAGCTGCATGCAGCAAATTTCGTAACCCCCCCTTTCCCAATCCCCCCCTTTCGTCCGGCCCGATTGAAGGGGCCCTGGGGCAGACACAAAAAAACAGGTACAAACATCAGGATTCCCCTCCTTTCCCATATTTTTCGGGTGCTCGTCTTCCCTCCCGCCTCCCATATTTTCCAATCTTTTCCGGGGGATCGGCGATGAATTGTGTCTGTGTGTTTTTTCCCCTCCTCATGCTCGCGTGGAGCATGACGAGAGGACTTGGGACGGGAGGGTGTACTGTAGGATCGCTGATGCACCCTTGGTGTGAAGCAGGGGCGTGGGTCAAGAACATAAAGCCTCCTTCACGAAGGCCCAGGGCCAACCATGGAGGTACACGTCAAAAGCTAGGGCTGGTCTTGACTCTCGTGCGAACTGTGCCCTGTCCGTCCTCCTACGGCCTTTCGGGCACACACACTGACATGGATCGGGGACCCGTGGATTTGGCGCGGGGGCGCCGGATCCGTGGATCGGGGAAGGCACCGCCCGAAACATGAGGCCACCGCCGCCTGACTCGGCGCCGGAGCGCGCCGATTCTGTGGAAACGGAGCCCGTCGCGACTCCGCGCGCCCTGATTCATGCTACGGTCGCGCCGCAGATCACAAAACATTCGGCAAGAGCATGAGGCCCTTCGCCGGCCGAAATGCAGGGACCACTCAAGGGCACCCTCTCCAGGATGCGCAAGAACATCCAACAACCACGAAACATATGAGGGTACCCTCCCCGGACCGGCCTCGATCTTAGACCTCGGTCCAACCGTACCGTTCCCTCCCCCTTTCCGAGGGCTCGTGCTGCCGACCGGGGGGGTCCCGCCGAGAGGCGCGCGCGCGCATGCGCGCGAACCACGGCCAGGCCGCTGCGCGCGCGGAGACACGCGGGCGTGCGAGGGATGTGCTGTGGCGGCCAATCATGTCCGGGCGATCCTTCTCCTCCGCCTGTCGTTGTCCTCGTCCTTGTCCTCGTCCTCATCCTCGTCCTCGTCCCCGTCCTCGTCGTCATCGTCGTCCTCCTCCTCCTCCTCCTCCTCCGCCTTCTCCTCCTCTCTCTATTTCTCTCTCTCTCTCTCGATCTTGCTCCCTCGAAGACATGGGCCCTGCCCTCCGAAAGCCCCTCTCGACCGTTCCCGCCCAAGGGCCGCCGCGGGAGCGACCCGGGACTCCTTCTCGCGGCCCTGGAAGTTATCAACCGAAGCGATCTCCAGGTCCTCGAGGGGGGGGAAGGAATGAGGGTGGAGGGGGGGGAAGGGGAGCCCAAGCGGGAAGGGGGGAGGGAGGGGGTGACGATGGGGGAAGGGGGAGGGGTTGTGGTCGAGGGGGGGGGCGGGATGGAGGGCGTGGCCTTGCGGTTCAGCTCCGTGATTGGTGACTGCCCCGCTCGGGCGGGAGGAGGGAGGCGAGTGGGGAGGGCAGCGAGGGAAAAGGAGGGGAGGAGGATTGTGAAGAGGGGGGTGAAGGGAGGATGTGGGGGGGAACCGTGCTCACCCGCCCCATCTATGATAATCAGTGTCTGTGGGCCGAACGAACTGGAATTCCAATGTGAAAGAACATGCGCCCACGCCCAATCTGTGAGAATTCGCGTCTGTAAGCCGAATGCAACGAATCCGGTGTTGGGGCAGGAACCATACGCCCCCGTCCAATATATGAGAACCGCATGCCCCGGATAATAAATCATACCCCCCTTTCACCACTGAAAATTGATAATCTCTGGCCAAGACAGAATTGGTCGAGGAAGAGGGGTGCCAAGGGGGAACTTCACTATCGCGGGGGAACTTTACACATCAAAATTGCTATCTTCTGATGTTCGAGTAGCAACATCATCAAACACGTGTGGCATGGCAACAGTCTTCTCACCATTTCAGCTTGGTTGAATCACGAAGGAGATGCAGGCACATATGCGATTCTCACCATGCGTTCTATTACCATTACCTTCTCTCTTATTTTAACATTTACAAATGCGACTACTACTGTTACTACTACTGGTACTACTACGGCTTATACTTCTACTGTTACTACTGCTACTACTCCTTGCGCTACTGCAAGCACTGCAACAACAACTACTACTACTACTACAGCTACAACTACAGCTACAACTACTGCTACTACTACTACTACTACTACTACTAGTACTATTACAAGTACTTCTGCTACGACCACTACTGCTACTACTGATACCACTACTACTACTACTACTACTACTACTACTACTACTACTACTACTACTACTATTACTGCCGCTACTGCTGGTACTACTACTACCTCTTCTTCTTCTTCTTATACTACTACTACTACTACTACTACTACTACTACTACTACTACTACTACTACTACTACTGGTACTGTTGTTTTTTTATACTACTACTGCTACTAATATATTTACTCCTACTACGACGACACCTACAACGACGACGACGACGACGACGACGACGACTACTACTACTACTACGACTACTACTCCTACTGCTGCTACTACTACGACTTCTACTACTACTACTACTATTATTACTATTACTACTAATACTATTACTACTACTACTACTACTACTACTACTACTACTACTACTACTCCTACTACTCATACTGTTGCTACTACTACTACTACTACTACTACTACTACTACTGCTACTACTACTACTGATACTACTACTGATAGTGCTACGACTACTACAACAACTACTACTACTGCTACTACTACTACTACTACTACTACTCCTACCACTGCAAGTGCTAGTGCTACTACGACTGCTGCTGCTGCTGGTACTACTACTACTACTACTACTACCACTACTACTGCTACTACTACTACTACTACTACTACTACTACTACTACTACTCGGGTCACCATCCGTCTATTGTCGGAAGCATATATGGCTAGTGCTTGTGTAAGGCCGACAACACTGGTATATGAAAACTGAATACATACTGCGCGTGAGTCACACTTGGTTGATGGCCGGATCCACATGCGCCAAACGATTTCCAAATCATTTCTTCAGTAACTCGTCGCGTTCGTCCTATTGTCCCCCAGAAGCTGTTGGAACCCTTAAGACGCCCTTCGGGTTCCTGCGGGATTCTTCGTGATTCCCGGCGGGGCCGTTCGGATTCCGATTCGTCGCGGCAGGATTTGAAGACTCCGGAGGAATCCTGAGGCACCTTGAAAATTCCCGAACAATCCGATGGAAATCTGAAAACATCCGGAGCGCCTCTGGGGAATCCATAAGACTCCTTAAAATTCGTTGACTCCAGAGCATGTCCTAAACACTTCTGGGGGCTTCCGAAGGGCCTCTGGAACCCTGTGAGGGATTCCGAAAGGTTTTAAACTGGTTCCGAAAAGCTTATGAGGGTTGCCGCAAGGCCATTGAAAGTTCCCGAAAAGCTTCTGCGAGCCTCCGAACGGCCCTGAGCATATCTGCAACTGTTGCTCAAAGCTCCCGAAAGGCTGTCGAGACACCCCGAGAAGCCTCTGAGAGCTTCCCAAAGGTCTCTGAACATGACCGAGAGGCCCTGAGAGTTCTCGAGAAGGCCTGACAGTTCCAGAAAAAGGGGCTTCTGTGAGCTTCCGAAGAGGTATCTGAAACGTTACGAGAGACCTCCGAAAAAAAACGATGAAAGCTCCCGAGAGGCCTCTGCTATTCCCCGAGAGGCTTCTGAGAGCGTCCGAGGGGCCTCTGAGATTTCCCGAGAACCCTCTTCGAGCGTCCGAAAGGATTATGGTAATCCCCGAGAGGCTCCTGAGATCCCCGGAAGGGAAGCTTCTGAAAACATCCGATCGGCTCCGGGGAGCTCCGAGTGAGACCTTGAAGAGCTCCCAAGAGGCCTCTGGGATTTACCGAAAAGATTCTGCGCGCGCCCGAGAGGCCGCAGAGAGCTCCCGCGAGGCCTCTGGGCATTCTTTGAAGGTCCCGAGAGGCCTCTGGGAATGCCTTGGGGGCTTCTGAGAGCTTCCGAGAGGCCCCCTGGAGCTACCGAGAGGCTTCTGATAGCCTCCAATGGGGGCGCTGAGAGCTTACGGGGCCGTCTTGAGGGCCCTTGGGGCCGTCTTCGGGATGTCTCGGGGGCTTCTTGTGACGTTTCGACAACCTCTTGAGCCGTCGCAGAGCCGTCATCAGAATCTGCGGGGCCATCTTTGACGCTTACCAGAACGGGAAGGCCTCGGTGCGTAAAAGAAACATATACCCAATGTAGTATGTTCATTCGGGTCATTCGGGGCCCTCTTGGGTGAGCCATTGGGATCCTCACGGGCAATCCTGGGGGCCTCCTGGAGCACGGTGAGCGAGGAGATGATGATGACCGCGGCGATGGCGAAGATGGGGTTGATGATGATGATAATCAGGCGGAGGAAGGTGTGTGTGTGAGAGAGAGAGCTTAGCAGGACGCAGCAGAACCCAGCAGGGCTTTGCAGAACTCAGCAAGGCTTGCCAAAGCTCCAGTACTTACCAGGGCTTACGAGGGCTTATCAGAGCTTGGCAATGCTTACCACAGGCCAGCAGGGCTTCGCCCTGTTTAGCAGAGCTTAGCAGACCTTAGCGGGGCGAAGCATGGCTTGCCAGAGCTTGCAGGGCCTAGTGGAACCCAGCAAGGCGCTGCATGGCTTAGCAGAGCCCAGCAGGGCGCAGGAGGGCTTACCAACGCATATAGCAGGGCTTACCAGAGCTCGACAAGTGTCAGCCGGACTTAGCAGGGCTTAACAGTCTGTACTTCGCGGGGCTGCGCACGGCTCGGCAGAGCTTAGCAGTAGTCCCCGCGCATTTGTGGCCGGTACTTTGGCTTCGCTGTCAGTAGTGT